TAGTCGATGCACATCCGAATGTCCACTCCATTCTTCTTGGGTACTATCACAATTGGTGATGCCCATGGCGATTCAGAGTGTTCAATCAGCGTAGCTTCCAGGAGCTTCTTCAGCAATTCATACACCTTGATGACTAAGTGTGGACCAACCCATCGGGGTCTTTGGGCAACTGGCTTAGCATCACCCACATCCAAATCACAGATGACGCCTCTCGCCGGAGGTGGGGCAGCGTTCCCGTCACCTAAGAAGATGTTCTTGTGTCTTTTCAAGATGGACTTCAGCTGCTCTTCCTGAGCCTCCGTGCTTTCACCATGTTCCCCAACGTCAGCGGCCTCAATATCACATTCAGGGGAGAGATCATCCAAATCAGGTAACATGACCAACTGATCCTTCAACTGAGACATAAGCTCACCCCATTCCCGAATGTAAACCGCTGGTTCCAAATCGAGTTCTTCAGCGCTCACTCGCATACACCTGGTATATGCCGCATCAAGTCTTGCGAGTGGTGTTCCAGGCATGGCAGACGAAGGTAACTCGGAATCCTCGTCCTCCGTGTTCAGGTCATCCTGGACTACATTGCATTCAGATCCATAGGCCGTCTCATCTGGGACTCTTCCGCAAGATCTTGAACCGACAATCCTTCCGCCATCCTGGATGTCGACATCTAGGGTGACTAGTTCAGGCGGGGCGTCGACAGCCATGAGTGAGTCAATTACGCTCGGGGTGTATGCCTCAAGCGTAACATCCTCAGCTAGTCCCACGTCCTCGACGTCTCTCTGCGGTGGCAGCTCTTCCACGATCTTCGTGACCTGGGCTCGCTCAGGTTCCCTTGGCCTCACTAATAACTTCGTTGGCCACTTGTACTTGGGCACCATGACTGCAGGTGGAGCCGCATCCCGAAGCATCTGTTCATATGCTTCCTGACGCATTTGCGGACAATGTATTCTCCTGAATAATCTGTTGCCACTCCATATACCTCCGTAACCCAGGACGCACGAACTGTCCAACTATGGGGATATTCCCATACTCCGCAATCCGAGCAACGGGTGTCGTAGGCTCGATCCAACAATCTCGGTCCGAAACGTTGATCACTTTTATCGCTATGACCCACGATCGTGCGCCGTAAACAATTTGGGTGGCCCACTGATCTCACCGTCCTGCCCATACAACATCCTGGAGCGGGTGACACTGTCCATATCG